TTTTTCTAGATTGGATGCGACGCATCCAATCTCTCTTCCTCTAGCTAGAGCACCTTTTCTTCATATTTTTGCACTCCAAACACCCTAATTCACCACACACAACTCAATTAGTCATAAAACCAATAATTAAACCATATTGGGCATTTTAAAGATCAAATAGCATCAAAAAGCGGTTAAAATATGGGTAAAGTAACATCAACACATATCGAAATATGCCAAACATCACAAGATAAAGTCTGTTCGTGTAAGTTCACTGAGAATAGATCCACTGTTGCTAGTTGGGACTCTTTTTTCAATTTCCCTAATGCAGAACAGTATACAGTATACTGTATTTAGAGCCTGTTTGGATGGGCTTAAAAGCTGGTCAGCCCTTTTTAACTTCTGGGAGTGTTTGACAACCAAAAAAAGGGCTTTAAAAAAGTTAAAATTTGCTTTAAAAAAGCCAAAACCAATAAGTTGGGTAATCCCAACTTTTTCGAAATTGGCTTAAAAGCCATATTGCTTTGACCAAGGATATTACATTCTTATCCCTTATAATATTTTTTAATCCCGAAATTATCCCTCAGTAGAAAACCTCAAAACATACTATCTTTTTCTTTTCTCCATTCTTTTTGCAACCTCTACTTTCTTCTTCCTCTTCTTCCATAACTTTCCTCTCTTTTCCTTTCATTTCTTTTTTACTCTTTCATTCATTATTTTCCCCTCTTTTTCCTTTCCTTTCTTTCTTCCCAGTGCTGCTCCCTTCACCATCACACTTCTTTCTTTAGTCAAATTATTATTATGTCATTTTAAGGATATTTCAGTCATTTTAATAGAAAAAGTGCTTACTATCACTTGTTTACCAAACACTTTAATAACTTTTTTTTTCTGTTTCTAACACTTTTATCCAAACACTTAACTACTTATTTATAAAATAAGCTCTAACATTTAAAAAGTGCTTTTAAGCATTTATGCTTAAAAGCTATTTTTTTTAAGCCAATTCAAGAGCAGCCTCTTAGTTTAACACATTACTTTGAGTAATCATAAACGAGTTGAGCTGAACTTAACAAAGAGTAGATTTTCTGTGCTTGGTTTGATTTCTAAAGAGTTAAGAACTATATATTTTAGTATTACAAACTAAATTTAAATGTGCTTTAATCAAATTATAGACTTATGGAGATTCCAACCTCACTTTTGCGATATGTTTCCAAATTTAATTCTGAAAAAAACAACAATAGAAACTATCACTAGTTTGATGCTTTATGAGTAGAAGACTAGAAGCGAGGCACCCATCATACATAAGCCCAAGTCCACCAGCTGCGAGCTCTTCAAGTTAATCAAGCAAATACTTGTGGATG